AGAAATTTAACAAATATGTAATATATGACAAAATCTTTATTTATGAACAAAACTCAATGAAATTTTCAACGCTTGTTAAATTTGTCATTTCAAATAAGAATATGCAAAAAAAAAATTGAAAAGGTCAAAGGGCATCCCGCAATTCCCAAAAATAGGAATGAAAATCCCAAAAATGGGATTTTTTATTTTTTTGCCCATAGGGTCCACATTTCTTTCAGGGCTGGGAAAATACTTTTGGAGTAAATAGAAAACATATTGAGGTTTCCAAAACTGCTTTCAGTTTTCTGATCCCAGCTTTGGGATTTTAGAACATGTCGCCCAAAGTTGAAGTTTTGATAAAAAATAGGTCATATTCGGAAGGACGCAGTGGCAACATTTTCAAAAAATAGGACAAGTTTTTTACGCCAAAGCGTTCTGCGTAAAGATACCTTTTAGAAAACTATAAAATTGTTATATGTTAATAAAAAATTTATTTTATTAATAAAAGAGTTAAGACACATTTTTGGCAAAAAAACGCCAAAAATCTAAAATTTTTTGAATTTTTAAATTAAAAAACGTATATTTTTGGATCTGTAAACGATATTGATCTGAAATTTTTTGTATATTATTGGAAATTTTGTTGTCTAACTAACAAGAAAAAATTGAGTCCATTTGGTCCAAAATTACGCCCGGTATTCAAAAAAAGGCGGACCAAGGTATGGTAAATTTTGTATCACTAAATTTTTAAATGCCTATAACTCGGATATTATAAGAGATAAGTAGTATGTCCAAGCATGTTTTTTCAAGATCTCGTCGAGCGCTTTCACAAAATATAAAAATCTTTGTATTTGGGTGAAAAACAAAAAAATGGCACGAGTTTAAAAATTTTACATGTCGTAGGTACCCTACTTTGAGCCGCCACAGCGCCGTCCCTGGGTCATCTGCAGGGTTCATCTTCAAAACTTAAACTCGAATACTCCTTGGCTACGCTCACGCCAAATTTTATCCCGATCGGATCAGCCGTTTAGAAATGCCAGATTTATTTCCAAAAAATTTCCATTCTGCCCCACTGTGGAAACTTAAAACGTTGCTGCTGGCTGGTGCTAGTACCAGCACCTTGGTTAACTGTCCGTCTGTCTAGAGCAATGCTTATTGCTTAAGTCTTTCGTTTTTTTTTTCGTTTAGTAAACAAAATATTTATATACTCTAGTTTATGGTTTTATTTAATTTGCTATTATTTCATATTTATTTAACTAAATAAGTTATTAGTCGTTATTAATCTCAATTTAATGTTGCCCATAAAATATCGTAAACGAAAGCTTTTTTATTTTATTTAATGCTTTGAACAATTTATTATGTAATTTATATGTAATTTGTTACGAAATGTTTTTAGAGAAGGGAATTTCTTTTGTAAAAAATTACTTGTAAAATTATTTTTACTTAATTTAATTAGTAATTTAAAATATTACAAGAAAATAATCTATAGACGAGACTAAAGACCATAATATTGACAAGACCAGTGTATAGTCTGTATTGGAGACTATAGAGTAGAATATAGACCAGACTATGGACTAGACTATAGACAAGACTATGGACTAGACTATAGACAAGACTATAGACTAGACTATAGACTAGACTATAGACTAGACTATAGACTAGACTATAGACTAGACTATAGACTAGACTATAGACTAGACTATAGACTAGACTATAGACCAGACTATAGACTAGACTTAGACTAGACTATATACTAGACTATAGACTAGACTATAGACTAGACTATAGACTAGACTATAGACTAGACTATAGACTAGACTATAGACTAGACTATAGACTAGACTATAGACTAGACTATAGACTAGACTATAGACTAGACTATAGACTAGACTATAGACTAGAATATAGACTAGACTATAGACTAGACTATAGACTAGACTAGACTAGACTAGACTATAGACTAGACTATAGACTAGACTATAGACTAGACTATAGACTAGACTATAGACTAGACTATAGACTAGACTATAGACTAGACTATAGACTAGACTATAGACTAGACTATAGACTAGACTATAGACTAGACTATAGACTAGACTATAGACTAGACTATAGACTAGACTATAGACTAGACTATAGACTAGACTATAGACTAGACTATAGACTAGACTATAGACTAGACTATAGACTAGACTATAGACTAGACTATAGACTAGACTATAGACTAGACTATAGACTAGACTATAGACTAGACTATAGACTAGACTATAGACTAGACTATAGACTAGACTATAGACTAGACTATAGACTAGACTATAGACTATACTATAGACTAGACTATAGACTAGACTATAGACTAGACTATAGACTAGACTATCGACTAGACTATAGACTAGACTATTGACTAGACTATAGACTAGACTATAGACTAGACTATAGACTAGACTATAGACTAGACTATAGACTAGACTATAGACTAGACTATAGACTAGACTATAGACTAGACTATAGACTAGACTATAGACTAGACTATAGACTAGACTATAGACTAGACTATAGACTAGACTATAGACTAGACTATAGACTACTATAGACTAGACTATAGACTAGACTATAGACTAGACTATAGACTAGACTATAGACTAGACTATAGACTAGACTATAGACTAGACTATAGACTAGACTATAGACTAGACTATAGACTAGACTATAGACTAGACTATAGACTAGACTATAGACTAGACTATAGACTAGACTATAGACTAGACTATAGACTAGACTATAGACTAGACTATAGACTAGACTATAGACTAGACTATAGACTAGACTATAGACTAGACTATAGACTAGACTATAGACTAGACTATAGACTAGACTATAGACTAGACTATAGACTAGACTATAGACTAGACTATAGACTAGACTATAGACTAGACTATAGACTAGACTATAGACTAGACTATAGACTAGACTATAGACTAGACTATAGACTAGACTATAGACTAGACTATAGACTAGACTATAGACTAGACTATAGACTAGACTATAGACTAGACTATAGACTAGACTATAGACTAGACTATAGACTAGACTATAGACTAGACTAGACTAGACTATAGACTAGACTATAGACTAGACTATAGACTAGACTATAGACTAGACTATAGACTAGACTATAGACTAGACTATAGACTAGACTATAGACTAGACTATAGACTAGACTATAGACTAGACTATAGACTAGACTATAGACTAGACTATAGACTAGACTATAGACTAGACTATAGACTAGGCTATAGACTAGACTATAGACTAGGCTATAGACTAGGCTATAGACTAGACTATAGACTAGACTATAGACTAGGCTATAGACTAGACTATAGACTAGACTATAGACTAGACTATAGACTAGACTATAGTCCAGACTATAGTCTAGACTATAGACTAGACTATATACTAGACTATAGACTAGGCTTTATACTATAGAGTGTAGATTTGTTCTTGCTTTTGTGTACTAAACTAATATTAAACTAATATATTAGTCCTTTTTGGTAAATTTCTTTTAAATTGGACTTAGCTGTTTTAGCATTTTAAATACGGTTATTATTTCTAATTAAATTTAAATTTTATATAATTTACCTAAAATTAATATTACATCAATATTAATTTTAAATTGAAATATTTCTTATTTAGCTGATAATTATTTTTATTTCTATAATTTCTATTGTAAGTAATCAAACAATTATTATTACTTAATTACCAGCCTAAATTAGAATTCAAATTAAATTAAAATTTGTTTGAAATCAGAAACAAAAAATTTGTTGTTATTTATACTCGTGCCTAAAAAACGTGACGCATTTCAATAAAATAATTAAACAAAATTCTCAATAAACTTGCAACTATGTAGTGGGAGAATTGTATTAAACAAATAAAGGTTAATAAAATAAATTTTCTAATTAAAAATGCATTCATTAGAAGGAAAGTAATGCAGAAGCAAATAAAAAAGACATTGAATTTTATTAACAAAAATAATAAACAATTAAAAATTAATTTAATTTAATGAATATAAAGAAAATTTAGTTTTATAATATAAATAAATTTCTTTTCTAGGGATATAATTTAAGACAAATTTAATTGATATTAAAATGAAAAAATGTTTGGTATTCTTTTGTTAATTTGTTAAACAATTTAATTAACCTTTGTTGTTTTAAGCTTATAATACGAAATTAAACCGGATATGGTTGCGGACCATTTGATTTCTATTCTCTAGTTTAGTTTAGCTTTTATGGCAAAAAAAAACAGCAACAACTTATAACAAAAGAATTCACAATTATTTTCAAATAAATAAAAGAATTATAATTTATTAAACATAGGCTTTTAATCATTTTCATATGTCATTTCCTCTAAGGGGCTTTTTTTCAACTTCCAAATCTTTTAGTTTACAATTAATCTTAGTTTTTAAGGTCAAGTTAAAAATAAAAAAACTGTTAGTTGTTCTTTAAAATGATGTTACTATAATTAAATATTTCTTAATTTTTATACTTGAATTTTTTGGATTGAATTTTGTCGGATTGTGTGTACAACATATGTAGTAGTAATTTGTCCTAGAACCTATTGTGGTTGTTGTTAAGAATTTATTTAAATTTTATTTTGTATTTATAAACATACATAAATTACATAAAACCATTGTTGCTTTTTGGCTTATTACTGAAGAGCTTCTTCTATGATTGTGCAACAACTTAGAAGGCACAGTGGTAAACATACTAAATAAACCAAATTCTTTATTGCAACTACAACATGACAAAAGATTCGATATACAACACTTTTTATCAAACATTACATTTGAAAAGTTATGCTTTAAAGCCCACTGTACTTTATCATATATTTCAACAATCTCTGTCATTACCCAACAATTTACTTAATCATTGTTTAGACTTTTAACTATGTACATCCTGTCGTTATCCAAACAAATACATTTTAACTTATTCTCTCTTTCTCTCTCTGCTCTCTTTTTCCTCTTTTAGGTGTTTATGCGCTCCCGTACATCTGCTACGCACCCCAGAAGATCTCGAACCTATTGCGCTTAAAGCTTTGCAGCTTGAGAGAGCACGCTCTTTAACCGCCTGCGATGATGATCAAGTAGAGAGCGCCACTGCCACCACTTATGATGTTTGCCCACCGAGTAAATATCGTTTGCCTACTGGTGAATGTAATAATGTATCGCATCGTAAATGGGGTGCTCGTGGTGATGTTTTCCTACGTTTGTTGGCGCCTGACTATGCCGATGGCATTAGCCAGCCTAGAAGTTCGCATGGTACCCATGCTTTACCCGATGCTGAGTTCGTCATTGAACAATTGCAAAAACATATTGATCCCGAAGTCAGACATCCTCATATTACCGCTATGTTACCGGCCTGGGGTCAATTGTTGGCCAATGATTTGATAGAGGTCAGTCAATTGCCCATGGAAGGTAAATGTTGTAAGTCTTCCACGGAACGTAATCCACGTGAAGTTGAACAATGCTATGTACGTTCTGGTGCGGATTGTAAGGAATATAGACGTTCTGCTCCCGGTTATGATTCAGAATCTTGCTCTAAACGTAAGTTAGCTTTAATTTATTTCCCTTCTTCCCTCCCTTTCTAATATGTTTCTCTTTTCTTTTCATTAGATAAACGTGAACAAATGAATGTAGCTTCGGCCTATATTGATGCCAGTGGTTTGTATGGTTCCACTTTGCAAGATTATCAGGAAATTCGCACTTTTATTAGTGGTGGTGTTAAGGTACATGCTTGTAAATATTGCACAGTTCCAGGTGCCACTGGTGCTTTGCATCGTGCTTTATTGCAAGAACACAATCAAATTGCCGAACAATTGGCTCATTTGAATTCGGACTGGTCCGAGGAGGATGTATTTTTGGAAACTAAACGCATTATAACTGCTCAAATTCAACATATTACTTATAATGAATTTTTGCCCTTGGTTTTGGGTCAAGAAACAACAGCCAAAGAAGGTTTAAGGTGAGTTGCAACATTAACTGTGAAATTCAGTTTCTCGAAGGAAAATTTTGATATGATCTTTAATATAAAACAGTGGCCTCCGGTAGGTTAGTGGTTAGTGTTCTAGTCTGGTAGACCGGAGGTGGTGGGTTCGATTCCCACCTGAGGCACTGGATAAGGAGCGCACAACAGGCCCGATAGAGGCCTAGGTGTATTTCTTCGGATTTGATGTATATACATCCTCCTTTCAAACTAACTAACTAACTAACTAATATAAAACATGTGGGCAACCAATTTCATTAAAATTGTTTTTTTTTAATATTTCAGACTTGCTGCTGAAAAACACTCGACCAACTATTCCAGTACAAATCGTGGTGGTATTTATAATGAATTTGCTACCAGCGCTATGCCTGCCTTTTTGACCATGTATCCTCCCGAAATGGTAACTTTCTATAAAATCTATATGCTTGTTCAAATTGTAATCCTCTCCATTTATATCATTAGCTCTCCTATACCATGTCCTCTTCGCAATTATTGTCCGTAGCTGCTTTGCAAAAATCTTTGATACCCGCCACCGCCAACAAAGAAGGCTGGACTGATTTAGCTTTGGCTATACATCGTGCCCGTGATCATGGTATTCCTTCCTATGTCGAGGCTTTGGATTTGTGTGAGAAACGTTTCTCTGATAATGCCAATATCACCTTTGACAATTTGCACAAACACTCACGGATTCCCGAAGAACACATTACCACTTTGAGGGATATTTATCAAACAGCCAATGATGTGGATTTGTTGACGGGTGCTCTCTTGGAAGATCCTGCTGTAGGTGCCTTGTTTGGTCCCACTATTTCCTGTTTGTTGTCTTTGCAATTTGAACAACTTAAGAAAACTGATCGTTTCTGGTATGAAAATGATTTGCCTCCCTCCTCTTTCACTTTGGATCAGTTGAAGGCTATCAGACAGACCTCTTTGTCTGGCTTGTTGTGTGCTTCTAATCAAGTGCATGAGGCCCAATCGAAGGCCTTCATTAGAGAAGATAATTTCTTGTAAGTTTTGGGGAAAATTTAAAACATTTGATATCTTTATTAAAAGGTTTGTTCTTTATCCTATAGGAATACTTTGTTGAAATGTGATCAAATCCATAAATTTGATTTACGTCCCTGGTTGAATAATCCCGAGGAAGAAGAATCCATAGAACATGTTGAAATTGAACCTGTAGTCAAGGAAGTTATGAGTGAACTGAATCCTGAACTCTTGGAGGCTGCTGTCGAAAGAGCTAAGATGGAATTGGAAGAACGTAAACGTTTTGAGTATGAATCCTGGATGGCACGTAAGTTAAAATTTAAAATTTTCCATAAAATAGTTTATTTATTTGTACTCTATCTTAAATTTAGAGGGTGGCATTAGCGCCAAATCTCCGGATGGTGTGGCCGCTTCTTTCAGCAAGGCTAGCCGCAATGCTTTATTGCTGGCTAACTCTTCGTTGATGTTCGAATTGGCTTCCAATGAGATTTTGAATACTTTGACCTCCATTAATAGACGTAAACGTCAAGTCTTTGATTCTGGCTTGCACTTCAATCGCAATGAGTTGACCGAAACTTTGCAAACCATTGATATTAATAGCTTCTTACAAAATCGCCCAGTCAAAACCGAATGTGATGATCCACCAGTAGCCTGTGATACTACTACACCCTTCCGTACTTTTACCGGTTACTGTAACAATTTGCGCAATCCCAACTGGGGTAAATCTTTGACAACCTTCTCTCGCCTTTTGCCTGCTCAATATGATGATGGTATTTCCAAACCTAGACTATTGGCTGTTACTGGAGCTCCTCTTCCTAATCCCAGAACTATTTCCACTGTTATTCATCCTGATATTTCCAACTTGCATACCCGTTACTCTTTAATGGTGATGCAGTATGCTCAATTCTTGGATCACGATTTGACTTTGACACCCATCCATAAAGGTTTCCACGAATCTATTCCCAGCTGCAGAAGATGTGATTCTAAGCAAACCGTACATCCGGAATGTAATCCCTTCCCTGTGCCAGCCGGCGACTACTATTATCCTGAAGTGAATGTTACCAGTGGCGAACGTTTGTGTTTCCCCTCTATGAGATCTCTGCCTGGACAATTGACTTTGGGTCCTCGTGATCAAGTCAATCAAAATACTCACTTTTTGGATGCTTCTATGGTCTATGGTGAAAACCCCTGTTTGGCTAACAAATTGCGTGGCTTCAATGGTCGCTTGAACTCTACCATCCATCCTGTAAGAGGCAAGGAATTGTTGCCCCAAACTAATAGCAATCCCGAATGTAAATCACGCAGCAATCTCTGCTTTATTGCCGGTGATGAACGTTCATCCGAACAGCCAGGTCTTACCGCCATTCACACTATCTTCTTGCGTGAACACAATCGTATTGTTGAGGGCTTGAGAGGTGTTAATCCCCATTGGACCGGCGATCAATTGTATCATCATGCTAGACGTATTGTTAGTGCCCAAGTTCAACATTTGACTTTCAATGAGTTCCTGCCACGTATTCTCAGTTGGAATGCCGTCAATTTGTATGGTTTGAAATTGTTGCCACAAGGTTATTACAAGGATTACAATCCTTCATGTTCACCCATTATCTTCAATGAATTTGCTACCGCTGCCTTCCGTATTGGTCACTCGCTGTTGAGACCTCATATTCCTCGTTTGAGTCCTCAGCATCAACCCGTCGATCCTCCAATTTTGTTGCGTGATGGTTTCTTTAGAATGGATGCTTTATTGCAGGTGATTATTTGAGGGAAAGAATTAAAGATTTCAGAACAATTTTATTAATTTGTTGTTATATTTTTTCTTTAATGAAGCCTGGCATTATTGATGAAATTATGCGCGGTTTGGTGGCTACTCCCATGGAAACATTGGATCAATTTATTACCGGTGAAGTTACTAACCATTTGTTCGAAGATCGCAAGATTCCCTTCTCCGGTGTCGATTTGATTGCGTTGAATATTCAAAGAGGTAAGTTGAATGTGACCTAAAAATATCCGGATCGGATTATCTATATTCTAGTCTATAGTATAGACTATATTGTAGTATATAGTCTGGACTAAAGTCTAGTCTATAGTCTGGACCATACTCTGGTCCGCACGAAGAATATAGCCCAGACTATAGACTTCACTATGTCTATAATCTGGGCTATATTCTACTCTATAGTCTGGACTATAGTCTAGGCTATAGTCTGGCCTATAGTCAAGTCTATAGTCTGGCCTACAGTCAAGTCTATAATGTAGACTATAGTATATTGTCTCGACTGTAGGTTGGATTAGATTCTAGCCGATAGACTTGAATACCGTCTAGCCTATAGTCTTGACTCTGGTCTAATCTATAGTCTGGCCTATAGGCTGAATCGTAATCTGGTTTATAACCCGCACTAAATACTCAAATGAAAACGTCTTAACAATTTGTTTTCTGTTTTAGGTCGTGATCATGGTCTACCTTCTTATAACAACTATCGTGCTTTGTGTAATTTGAAGAGAGCCTCGAACTGGAACGATTTAAGTCGTGAAATTCCCACTGAAGTTATTAATCGTTTCAAGAAAATCTATCCTACTGTTGATGATATTGATCTATTCCCTGGCGCTATGACCGAAAGACCTTTACAAGGCGGTTTGGTAGGACCCACATTGGCCTGTATCATTGGTATACAATTCAGACAGTTGAGAAAATGTGATAGATTCTGGTGAGTTTTAGAAAATTTGCAAATCTAAAGAATGAAATTCATTAAAGGTTTATGTTAAAGGTATGAAAATCAAAATCCTGAAGTTAAATTTACTGAAGCCCAATTGGCTGAAATACGTAAGACCACCTTGGCTAAGATAACCTGTGAAAATTTGGAAATTCCCGGTGATATGCAACGTGCTGCATTCGATTTGCCCAGTAACTTCTTGTAAGTTTAAGAATAAACCATTTTGGATGGAGAAATTTTGTTAACTCAATATCGTTTTACGTCTAATTCCAGAAATCCTCGTGTACCTTGTCACTCTATGCCTCAAATTGATTTGAGTGCTTGGCGGGAAAATGTTCAAGGCTGTCAAATTGGCAATCGTCATGTGAGAGTAGGAGAATCTGCCTTCCCCTCACCCTGTACCAGCTGTGTTTGTTCCACAGAAGGAGTAAGTTTATTATACAATATCTTCCTAACAACATGTATTAATCTTTTTTTTTTGTCTTTCTAAACTTAGGCCCAATGTGCTTCTCTGCGCATTACCGATTGTGGTCAACTGATTAGACAATGGCCTAAAGAAGCTATTCTACGCGATGAAGTCTGCAATTCACAATGTGGTATTTACCTCAATGGTCAAAATGGCAATTTCAATGCCCAGTCACGTCAATCACAAGTACCACCCTCACGTGTACAACGCTCAAGGCCTCAAAATCTATTCAAATTCCCCGATCTTACACCCTTCATAGCATCATTGTAAATTTAAGGCAACAAAACAAAACAAAAAACACTTTAACACGAAACTTAAACTTTAAACTTAGAAAATAATTTTAAAAAAATGAAAGAAACTACAAACCACAACAAAATCCAACATGTCCGCCATTAGTTAAAGTAGACATTCGAGTCCCTTAAAACGGAGGCTTAAAAGTATAAAACGAAATGTTTACTTAATTTCTTTCAAACTTAGGTAATTATAATAAATTTTATATATAATTAATGTACATAAAATAAATTGTTATTATAAGTAAGAAAATTACATTTCACTTTAATTAAATAATTTTCTTAAAACAAAAAGAAAATGTAAATAATTTTAAATTATTATCTTAAAGTTTCTTAAGCATTAAACGTCAAGAAAAGAGAAGGAATTTTAGTTACTCCATGTTAATTTTATTATAATTTTTTTTTTTATATAAAAAAATATTTGTTATAAACATTAAAGACTTATTATGTATGCACTTTATATAATAACTATATATAAAAAAACCATAAACTCTTACACCATTTCCTTTAAGCTATATAAGTAACAAAAAAAAAATCATTTTCATTTTCCCTACTTAACTATTTTCTTGAAATGGTGTTTGTAACTACATACATATGTATTTGTTAGTAAAATAATTTTCCTACTTTTCTTTCTAAACTATCACTTTTCAAATCATGTCTCCTAATGATTCTAGTTCCATTTAACTGCCCACTTTTTGAATGCATAAAAAACAACAAGAAAACTTATTACATTTCTTATATAACTATGTACTTGTATTTCCTTTTTAGATTTCAATGCATTTCTTTTGCTTATTTATTGATATTTTATAATTAAAACTTAAAACAAAACAAAAAAACGATATTGTATAATAATGATATATATTTTTTAATTATAGTTTTCCACGATAATTAATAAATAAATTTTAATATAAGAATAAATTGATACGTTTTTAATTAAGGACACCCGCAACTGACTGAATGTAAGCAATTGTCATTTGTATGAATACAACGGGATGTGGAATTTTCAATATCTTGGCGAAGGCATGTCAATTCAGTGACATCTGTACAGTATAACAGAACTTCCTAGGGAAGTAAGGTCACAAGTATTGCAAATCATATTTCGGATGCTATGATAACTGTATATTTACTCTCTACTGGTCTATAGTATAATCTATAGTCTAGCCTATAGCCTACACTACATATATTATAGTTTATAGTCTAGTCTATAGTATAGTCTATAGTTTATTCTATAGTCATGTCTATAGTCTAATCTATAGTCTTGTCTATACTCTAGTCTATATTCTTGTCTATAGTATAGTCTCTAGCCTAGAACACAGTCTTGTTTATAATATTTAGTCTTGTCTATATACCAGTATATAGACAAGTCCTTAGTTTAATATGTAATCTAGCATATAATTTGGTCTATAATCTGTTCTATAGTCTAATATACAGTATTTTCTATAGTTTTGTCTATAGTCTAATATATAGTCTAATCTGTAGTCTAATATTTAGTATAGTCTATAGTCTTGTCTACGGTCTAGTCTATTGTCCAGTCTATAGTCTAGTCTGGTCTTGTTTGGTCTAGTATATAGTCTAGTCTGTAGTATAGTATATATGCAGTACTATATACTATACTACAGACTAGACTATATACTAGACAAAACAGTCTAGTCTAGTCCATAGTCTTGTCTACAGTCTAGTGTAGTATATATTCTAGTCTATTGTCCAGTTGATATTCTAGTATATAGTCTAGTCTTAAAATTAGTCCATAGTCTAGTCTATAGTGTAGTTCATTGTCTTGTCTATAGTCTTGGCCAGATTCCGGACTATAGTCTACTTCATAGTCATATCTACTTAGTGTATTCTATAGTCTTGTCTATATCATATTCTATGATCCATTCTACAGTACAGTCTAGACTAGACTATAGTCTATAGTGTTGTCTATTGTCTAGTCAGGTCAAGTATGATCTAGTTTATAGTCTAGTATATAGTCTTGTTTGTAGTCCAGTATATAGTCCTGTCCATAGTCCAGTTTATAGTGTAATATGTAGTCCAGTCAATAGTGTAGCCTACATGCTTGTCTATGGACTAGTCTACAGTATTGTCTATAGCCCAGTCTATACTTTAGTCTGGTCTAGTATATAGTCTAGTCCATAGACTATTATATAGTCTTGTTTGTAGTCTAGTTTATGGTATAGTCTATAGTCTTGTCTATATTTTTGTATATAATATAGTTTGGTCTACAGTCTAATATATACACACAGAAAAATGATTGGTTGGAAATCGGTCACAGTTGCAATTATTTATTTACTATAAAAGAATATTAGTTGTAGTTATTAAAAAACAATACTTTCAACATATTTTATATAATTACAACTGAAAAAACAAAACTGTAATCGAACTAAGGTTCGCGTAACTATACATTCAGTTAATCTAACCAACTTGAGCTTTATAAACGGTTATTTTAATTATGTCATTTAGCAAGACCGAATTAAATATACAATTATTTGCTTCAACTGTAAATATCAGTACTTGTAATCACAATTTTGTTTACATCTTTTTATTAATGCCAAACATTTGTTTTTAGTTGTGGCACCCACATACTTCAATTAAAAGTATAGAAAGTTCGGTTATATTAATAAAACAGAGAATAATTCGGTATTTCCAACCGAAAAAATCGATATTTATTACAATAAAATCTAATTCGGTATTTCCAATCGAATTCAATATAGAAATGGTTAGTTTACTTGACATTTAAAAATATTTAGTACTAAAATAATAAAGAAATAAAAAAGAACAAACATTTACAAATAAAATAAAAAATTGAAAATAAATAGAAGTTTTGCAGATTTTTAAAAGAAATTGTAAGTAAAAATTGTTTCCATGTATAAAATTTAAAAAAAACATCACATGTTTAATTTCAGAACGCTGTGTGTCCATACCTACAAGCATTTTTTAAATATTGATAATCTTAAATTTCAAAGCTAACCGAAAAACCGCTGCCAAGCCTGGTGATAAGAAACAAGAGAAGAAGGCTTCGGCTACTGCTTCTGCCGCTCGCAAAAAGGAAAGTGCAGCAAAGCCGGATCAAGCTAAAAGGTCTGCTGCTGCTACTAAAAACCAGTTGTCAAGAAAGCCACTCTTACACAGAAAGTTGCCTCTAAGGCTAAGCCAAAAACTAAGAATAGCAAAAAGAAGGCTGCTGCTGGTAAGAAGCACAAATTCTCCTCGAATGCTAAGGCTGTAGCTTTGCTAAAGCCTAAAAAGCCCCAGAACAATATTATCAAGGACGCTTTAAGTACCCGTGTACGTAAAGTAAGAACAAACGTACATTTCCGCAGACCTACGACCTTGAAATTGGCCAGCAACCCCAAGTACCCAAGGAAGTCTGTACCCAGAAATCGCATAGACGTTATGGTAAGAAAATCGAAACTATTTCTTTAAAAAAATTTTTAGAAAAATCCTTTGTTCTGTTTTCAGATACTGTGCAGATAATGTTTGATACAATTTCGTCGTACATTTGTATGAGGGCATAATTTGACCATGCAGTTGGCAAAAATACAGGATGAATTTAGTAAACAAATTTCAAGATTATTTCAAACATCAAGATGTACATATTTGCATTTATTTTAGGAAAGCGGTAAACTGTATATATTAGTACAAGTTGCTTGATGATGTAGCCAATCACAAGGAACATATAACAGCTTATCACATATCTCTGCAAAATATGTATATATTCAAGATATATTCATATGTTCATATATGTGTAATTCAATTTATCGATAATATTTATACAATAGTAAATAAACAGTAAATACAAAAAAAAAAAAACATAAAAAACATGTATTTTAATTGGTTCTTAATATTGATAGTTTCGGTTCCTATGACCGAATTGTTTTTAAAAATTAGTAGTTACGCTAACTAAAATTTCCCTGGCTTCAATTGAAAATTCGGTAGTAACAACCAACCTTTGTTCTAAAAAGTAGTGTTATGGAACGAAATTTTCGATAATTACAATAAATTTTTGTGGAAGTACATGCAACCGAACAAATTCGATTGGAAACAAATTCGATTGTGACAACGAATCTGTTTTCTCTGTGTAGTATTCTCTATAATCTTGTTTTTTAGTCTAATCTACAGTTTTGTCTGTAATCTAGTCTATATTCCAGTATATTGTCCTGTCAATAGTATCCATAGTCTAGTCTTGTGTGGTCAAGTATATAGTCTATTCTGTAGTCTAGTATATAGTACTGCCTACAGTCTAGTCTATAGTTTTGCCCATGATCTAGTCTATAGTCTGGTCTATAGTCTAGTCTACAGTCTAGTCTATATTCTAGTCTATGGTACAGTCTATAGTCTGGTTTATAGTATAATTTTCAGTCTTGATTGTAGTCCAGTTTAAAGTCTAATCTATAATCCGGTATATCGCCTTGTTGGTAGTCCAGTTTATAGTCTAATCTATAGTTCAGTCAATAGTGTAGTCTACATGCTAGTCTATGATCTAGTCTATAGTTTTGTCTATAGTCTAGTATAGTCTATAGTTTTGTCTATACTTTAGTATATAGCCTAGTCTATAGTTTGGTCTATAGTCTGTTCTTTGGTATATTTTATAGTCTAATATGTAGTCTAGTCTATACTTTGGTCTATAGTCTTGTATATAGTCTTGTTTATAGTCTAATCTATAGTCTAGTTTATAATCAAGTCTGCAGTCTAGTCTAGTCTATAGTATAGTCTATTGTTTTGTCTATAGTCCAGTCTATTGCCCTGTCAATAGTCTAGTCTAGAGACTGGTCTATTGTCTAGTACATAGTCTAATCAGTTCTGGTGTGGTCTAATATATAGACCAGTCCAGTTTGATGGTATAATCTATAGTCCAGTCTATAGTGTAGTCTTTGGTCTAATCTATAGTCTGGTCTACAGTCTAATCTACAGTCATGCCTATAGTCCTGTCTATAGTGTAGTCTATAGTCTAGTCTATAATGTAGTCGATAGTCTAGTCTAAAGGTTAGTCTGTAGTCTAGTCTATTTTATAATTTATATTATTGTCTATAGCCTGGTCTAGATTCCGGACTAAAGTCTACTTCATAGTCATATCTACTTAGTCTTGTCCTTATCATTGTCTATGGTCTAGTCTTTAGTCTAATCTATACTCTAGTCCATATTAGAACTTTTTCTTAATAATATTATACAACCAACATTGAAATAAAAATGAAATAGTTTTTTATTTATTTATTATCTAAAATTTGTTTAATAACAAATAGCACTGAATTACTTATGTCTATAAATTATTAGCAATTGTTTAAAATAATTTCAATGTTTACTATTTTTAAAATCAATTTCATTAAATCTAAACAAACATTTGTGAAATGTAAATAAACTTTCAGTTATATTGGAAAAGTGCAATTTAATACACACTAAGCCACATAAAACGAATTTTTACCTACCCTACAAATTTTGACGTCATTCCAAAGTGAAATTTACACGAAATTCGTTTCTATTACAAGGCCAGAGAAAATAAATCAAATAAAATTTTAAATTACCACTAATAACATACTTTTAGGATGAGAAAAGTATTTGAGTCATCCGGTTGTAGAAAATGTAAATAAGGTGACTCAAATACTTTTCACATCCCAAAGGTATGCTGTGAGTTTTAATTTAAGTAATTTCCTTGCTCTCTTTTGTCATATTCTGTAAGCCTGGTATTAAGAAATCAATTTTGAGTAGATTTTAAGTTGGACATTTTTGCACAACTTTTTGTTGATGACGTCAGCAACAAACAAACAGCAGTGGCGATGATGATTTTCACAGGTAATGAAGATGAATGAATGAATAATTTTAGTGGAAGTTCAATGAATGAAGAATGCCTTTATAAAGGAAATATTATAAAATTACTTTTTAAAAAAAAATCATTCTTAGCATTTTTAGTTCTTGGG